TTGTATTTTTGTATAAATAGGATAGAAATTTGTCCTTGTAAAAGGGCAGAGATAACAGTGATAACTCAATAGTTCGAATTTAAGACTTAGAATCTAAGGTTAAGGATTTCTAAGGATACAAATTTCTACAATAAAGGAATCTCTTTCTAAACTACACATATTAAAAATCCTTCAACGTGTCAATTGTGTTTATCATGTTTACAAATTGTTAAAGTTATTTACTCGTCTAAAAGTATAAACCCAAGATTGATTGTGATAGGACTTATTTCACAGTAACTTAGTAGTTTCTCGTATGTTACTCCCTGTTATTAAGTCATAGTTGCCCTAAGTTTGACGGTTGAGCATAGGGTTAACATTGTATACATATACCTTAAAAATACCTTTTATTATCCCTTCACTTTTACCATTTTAAATGTATTTAATTTTATATTTGTAATTTTTTTATATTTTTAATTTTTAATTTTCTTATTTTATTACACAATTTTTCATAATTGTGTAGTCAGCTTTAATTAAATAAAGTCTTATTGATTAGCATTTATATATTGATATTGCGAACGTAGAGTGCTGCATTAAGTCAATTTTATTAAATTTGATATTATTAAATAATTTTAACATTAACATTACTTCATTTTTGCTCAATAAAAACCCTTTTTTATGTTTAAATTTGTTTATAAATATATAAATGAAAGAACTGAATACAACAATATGGGATTTTTTAATTTTTGTAAATAAAGAATAGAGAGTAATTCATTGTATCTCTTTGATTTTTCTACTACATTTGATATATTGTTAACATTAATATTTAATTATTAATATATTCTTAATATTATACATTATATCTATGCTAATATAAAACTGAAGAGTGAATATAGTTTTTTATTTTATTTTTACATATCACCTTACATTGATTATAAAAAAGCCCATTATGGGCGAAATCTTTATTAAGCAATGACATTTCAAGAGAGAGTATGCAAATCTTAAGTCAAGTTATTCCTAAGTCTTTGTTTATTTGCTCTTTTACATTTTCATAAATTTCTATTATTAGCTTTGCAAAAAAAATGTAGCTTACTCAATATCATATATTGTATTCAAAGCTTAATTTGCAATAAAGTCAGGTTTTAGAATGAAGAATTAATCCTCATCATCTTTTATATTTCTATCTGAGGAATATTATTGCAAATCCTTCTAGACATAAAATTTAGTTCTGTGCTAAATTTAGCTATATCAAAAGGCATGTGATGAACATCAGGTGAAGTTTGTCAATTTTCGCTATTTTCTATTAATATTGTAACTAGGTTTCAATAGCAATTTCTTCATTTAACATACATTTTAAGACATTAATGATAATGTTATGGCAATGCAGAATTTTAAAAACCTGTAGTATAAACTTTGATATCATATTGCTTTATAATAAATAAGCTTTAAATTTAAATATGTGTATTTTATAGTTTGATTTTAAAATTCAAATATTCATGATTATGTTTTAATTCAGCTGAAACTTTAAATGCATATACTGTACTAATTGATAGGAGGACTGTAGATTATTAATAAATTTTATTTCTATAATTTAAATAGGCTATATCCTAAGGCATAATTAAATTATAAACATTTTTATATGTTAGATTAGTTTTAGCTTTAATAGATGTGACAAAGAGAATATAATAATAATAATAATATTATTATTATTTATCAAATTTAAATTGGTAAAATGTAATAAGTCATTGTATTAAGTTAAAATTAATTCCGAAGCGATAAACTCTCCAAAAATACAACGGAAGATGTAAATTTTTTATCTATTTTTATCTGATCTAGCCAGATTTAGGTTGAAGTATATTGGGAAAAAGTCAAATTTACTTTTATATTATGCTTAGTCCGAAATCTTTTCAGTTTATCATTATTCTAAAGGTCCCATATTTCCTGTAATCAAAATTTCCAATATTTTTTTATTTTATGTAAGCAAAAAAGATATAAATTGACCTAAATTGCAAATTATATCGTCGAAACTTTAGGTTTGCGGTTCGTGTTTTTTTCATCATTTCAGACAAAAATCTATATTTGATCAAGATCGCTATTTAATTATTAATCATATAAATTTCTATTTATCGTTTTAAATGATTTTGTGCGACGACGCAAATTAATAAAAAAGAAAAACCGACTAAATGTTATCTATTAAGCGACATAGTCTTCCTCGAAAAACTTTACTACATCCTGTGCGGTTTCGCGATCCAACGCACAATCTAATAATTGAGGCAAGTTCGCTGTAGCCATATTATGTATCGTTTGAAATCCTTCTTGAAGAAAATAGACTTCTACAATATAAATGACGAAAATTATCAACATCAAATGTTTATCAGTCCCACTCGAACTGGATAGAGATCATACCATTTAATTGTAGATTTCTGGTTCCCGCTGACATTTGTGAGACAAGATGAACCCATTTGTTTGTAGCTGTCAAACTTGCCGGATTGTTAATACATTGATTTTGTTCCTAGAAGTTAAAAATCAATTAATAAAATGAATCCCGTGTTTGGAAAATTACAAGTCATTAATTACCATGATTAATTGCTGAGCAATTGGTGGTTGTTTATCCGGAAAAAATCCTCTAGCAATGATGTCAATCAAATTAACCGCCTCTTGCGGATTATGCATAGGAATTATGTTGATGTTAACACATCCAAGCAATAGTCTTGTATGAAGATTAAAAGAACTAGTTATTGTAATTTATTATTTAAAATCAATTTTCATACTAATCAAACAAATACCTAGTTTGAATTTCAAATAACGGTTGTATATTTGAAGAATGAAGATACATTAGTAATACAACTTTAGCGTGTCGTTGCTTTGTTCTTTGAATCCTACATAGAAATTTTGTATTTAAAATCTTAATTGCAAATAATATTTTTTTTTAAAAAAAAATTAAAAAAAATTGAAATACCTATCCGTCAAATTTTGAATAATCATCTTTTTCTCTCTCTCATTCCTCAAACAGTCCCAATGCTCATGAGAAAAGCACAAGAATGTAATATTTGGTTTTGGGAAAGTGATATCCTTTTAAATAAATATATTGATTAATTGTAAATAGATTTGTAATATCTTGATCCTTGATTTCTTAAATACCCCAGGAGTTCCAGGCGTAGCTTCAATATCTGAAAATATCGAAAATATGAGAGTTACGATCAAAGGAATCCATAAAGAATAATTCATAAATTGATATAGCGTACATCTGACTCGCCACCCTTTACTTTTTTTCATTTCATCAGAGACTTTTTGCCAGTCGTCTGTTAGATTTTTATTGAAAAGAACGGCGGGCTGCAAGTTGTTTTGCATTTTAGGTCGAATGGGTAAATATCGAGACGATAAAGATTGGATTTATCAAAATCAGCTAATAAAATAATGGCAATAGACTTTGTTTAGACTTTGAAAAATAAACTTTATAATATCAATCAGATATTAAATGATATTTATAAGTTATTGTGTTTGCAATGACCAGTTAGAATTTTATTTTTTGTCATAGTTTCCATAAAAAAAAAGTCGGGTTAACATAGTACTTTGTTCTTTGTTATATGAAAAGAGTATATGAGTATGTATTTGAGATAATTAGAATATTCAAAATAGATTGTTATTTGATGTATTACATGAATCAATTTAATAATAATAATTAATTTATTTAAATATAATTAGTTAAAAATTTATTATAATGATTTGTTAACCTTTAATGCTAAGTATGTTTCAAACAAACATTTGGTGATAGTTTTCGTGAATAATAATGTACGCTATCTTATTTTAAAAAAAAAAATTTTGAGCAGGAAAGTTTGAAGTTCCGCCGTTTTAAAAATATTTTTACATATTTTGTCAATTTCTTCATTATTAGTCTTTTCATCAAAATTTAAAAATTATTTAATTAAGACATTTTTTTCAATTGGTTATCCATTTTCTTCGACGTTTTATAAACAGATAATGAATCCGCATCAGCTTCTTTAGCAAAAACAAGATCGCGATGTTTTACAACAATAAAGAATTGAGAAAGATTCGTTATCTTGAATTTTATCGCATTTTTATGAAACATTGATTAAACAACGAACAATGGATTTTAGCGACGTAAAACAAGTTGCTGTTCAAACATTATTTCGACAAAACTCCTTCAAATAACAAATTATATGTCCCAAAATTCTTTGCACTCCAATTTCACATGGATGGTCCTGTTCTGTTAAAAACTCCATGTTGTATCTGAAATTGGAATTCCAATTTAAAAGAAATCCAAAAAAGTATCAGTATTCCAACTTCGATTAAATCGTTCTAATATTACTTGTTCCTTCTCCCTTGTTTAGTTTAGTATTAAAGTGAATAATAATGAAATAAAAAAGTTTTATTTACCACCTTATTCTGAGTAATAAGTAAATAACGTAATACTGCGAAGAGTCTGGTCTGGTATCACTCGAGAATACAATTGCAATTAGACGGGTTACGCATGTGCTTAAGACTTAAAAACATGATTAAAAATTAAAATAAATCAGTCAATAATCATGAAAAAAAGGCATTATAAATTGAGGTTAATGCATCAATTCTCTGTGAACATGTACATTTTTTCAATAATTGGGTGGTTCTACCAAAATGTAATTAATTTAGATATTTATTAATTTTTGTAAATTCTTTCATTCTTAATCTTGATCATATCATGACAATGGATTTGAATCACCAGCTAAATAACTTCTTTTTTTTTTTTAAAAAAAAAAAGTTCCTATTTTAGAACTTAACTAGGGAGGCCAGGGCGTGACTCAAAGACCCATAATCACAGAATTGCTTTATATTTTGTATGTTATAAAAATAAAAAAAAAAAAAAAAATACTGAAGTGATCCAAAAGCCTAGGGAAAAATTCCAAATCAAAGAGCGGAAATATATTCGATTGCTACGGTAAAAAGTGAACAAATGAAGGTAGTAAATAGAAACAAAATGAAAACTAAACAAACTAAACAAAGTTATAATAAAATAAAAATACATCCGCGTTTGTATCTAAATTAAGCCAACCGAATATTAAGATAAAGAAATAACAAAATAACCCTCCATTTTATAATTACAGCAGTCCAACTTGCCTAATAAAAATAAAAATACAAAATGATTTAAAAATGAATTTAAAATATAAAACTTAATTATGCACCAACTTGAAAAATTCCTAAAAAAACTATCGTCTAAAGAAAAGGAGAAATATACTGTAAATTAAAAAAAAATAAAAAAGAAAAGCCTACAACAAATCAGACCATTCCTCCTTCAAGAATCCGAAAAAATTATCAAAAATAAACAATAAAAAAAAAAGAAAGAAAAAAAAAAATAAAATCATTCTATAATTGCAACCAAAGAAAAATTAGAAAGTATTTTAACAAATAAAAAAAAAGACTCATCTGTTCCTTGCGATCTAAAGAACAAAATTTTATCATTTCTATCTTATTGGTAAGAATGGCAAAACCCTGAGGTTTCGATAGATGTCGAATTCGACACTATTTTATTAAAGGAAAGTTTGATGGGGTGGCAAAATCTTAAAAAGTATTAAAAAAGTTTTTTCTGAAGTCGAGTATTTTAAAAATAAAACCGCCTTCTGCGCCTATTTATGTTAACATAAAACACGAGACATCAAGACATAAAGATGACAGAAACGTCTAATCTATATTTGGAAATAGATCTAACCATAAACTGAAATTTTTGGTTCGTCAAAAAATTATTCATAAACCTTTTATTGGGCTAATTAAAAATATTAAAAACAACACGATTGACTATTTTAAGAAAATTTAAAGATCTTTTATTTTGTATTACATCCTTTAGGATATATAAATTAATTCGTACGTATTAATGTAAAATTCGCTTGTGTAGCAATATTTTCACACGCCACTTTCTGGGTTATTACTTTATGAAATCCAGAAATAAACGTAATGCGAACAAATACAGACTTCTTATTTTGATGGAATAAAATATGCATATATTTAGAAAAAAATTGTATATATCTTAATAATTGAAACATAAGGATAACTTTAATAAAATTCCACTTCAAAATCTTCCGATGTAATAATTTTGCGTCTACAATTATGACCCATAGTTACAAAAATCATTTTTTAAATATCATACAAATCTTGGGGTTTGAAAGGTAAAATGATAAATGTGTGAACTAAAAGAAGAAGCGAAGTTGAGAAAGACCAGTAAAATACAATTACCCAAAATAACAACTTGTCACAATACCTCAATGAAAAAAAGAATTCTTTTTTTAAATTTATTTTTTTTTTAAAAAAAAAGGTTAAACCGAAACCTCACTCTCGAAAACTTTTGAAATTATTTAATAATTTCGTTTCTCGCTAACAGAAGCGGAAGAAGAAGCTGTACTAATAGTTTCATAATTAATAATTTCAATTTCAATGGTGGGGGTGCCAGAATTACCCATTGTTCCCGAGTATAGAAGGTCAGAATTTAGAATTCCGCGATAGATGTTATTGTCACCTTCATGGGGAAGGTCATGATACATCCTGTCATATAATGCTAGAACGATGACACAAAGATAAATATCGTGATGATAAGTTTGGGTAAGTAAAGCCAGGGATTCTTACCTTGGTTAGCTCTAACACGACCTTTAAAAACTTTTAAATTCCACCAATTAGAGTAAAAGCCGTAGTTAAATGGGACGCTCCACATGAAGGCCAAAGATTCATTACGATCTTTAAGATGGTACACAATGACACCTACGGTTCCTCCGGTAAAGCCAGCAATCTTACGAGCACCCCAAACTAACCCCTTATCACTCGTTAGTTGATTCATAGGAAGCCCATAATTTGATGTACCAGAATCTATATAAACTTCCGGTTTCTCAAGCGTTACATGTGGCGAAAGATTTTTGATAGTAATCGCAACTTTTCTGTCAAAGTCTCCTAGTTCCTATACGCAAAATGAAAAAATAAATAAGATTTAATTAAATAAAATAACAATTTCATTTTAATAATTGAAGAAATTCAATTACATTAAGGAGGTCAATTAATAACTTGGGAGTAATTTCCGGAATCTGATACACTCCTGCTATCATATTGAAAATTAATGAAAAAGAAAGAAAATTAATAAAATGTACGCAACTTAAATATTTGGCGTCTGATGTTGTGTGAACAAATGATCAATGCGGTGAAACGTTTGTGCACCAATACATTTGCATGAATGGGTTTTATAAATGAAAAAAAAGGGCTGATCATCGTGCAAAAAGAAATATTTTATGATCGATTAAATTACGTTTTTATGTAGGACATGTGCATGGCTGCGCGTTTAATTTACTTCCGAAAAAAAAATCATATTTCCATAGATTCTTACCTATTTAAATAAAATCGTTTACCCTCCAACATGAATGAAATCGCATGTAAAAAAAAAAGGAACAAGTATAAACACACAGCAATTCCTGAAGAGATTTTGAGGATTTTTTTTACATTTAAATAAACCTCACATTTCTACACGAAGCATTTTTTTAAATATAACTATACCCTCTGATCAATGTTTTATTAATCTAAAAAAAAAATTTACTTCTCCAAATATATAATATTTAATAATAGGAATATTTTTTTCAAATATACATAAATTTATTAAAAAAGGATGAATCCATAAAATGATTTATCGAACCCAATCCTCTTTTAAAAGATGTAAAAAATAAAAAGAAAATGATAAATACATTAATTTATTTTGCGATGAAGCCAAAGAAAGAAATGAATGAAACAATAATATACCATTATAAATTTTATTAACTTCCTAATATCGCTTAATTTCTCTAACAGGAGGAGTTGTTGTATAATTTTGGACCTCAATCACAATAGTAGTTATTCCAGAGTTTCTCATCGTACCCTTGAATAACAAATCGGTACTTAGAACACCGCGGTACATCTTACCGTCTCCCTTATGAGGGAGGTCATTGTATATCTTTTCAAATAATGCTAGGCCAATAACACAAGGTTAAATATTGTGATGATTAGTTTAGATAAATAAGGAATGAGATACTTACCTCTATTAGCTTTAACATGACCATTATATACTTTAATATTCCACCAATTTGAGTAAAAGATGTAATTTAATGGGACACTCCACATAAAAACCAAGGATTCATTACGATCTTGGAAATGGTACGCAATAACCCCTACAGTTCCTCCAAACACGCCAGAAATCTTACGAGCTCCCCAGACCAAACCTTTATCTTTTGAAAGTTGATCAGAGGGAAGCTGAAAATCAGATGCTCCATATTCAATGTGTACTTCAGGTTTTTCAAAAATTATTGGAGACGAAAGGTTTTTGATAGTAATAGCTACTTTTCTGTTATAAT